GAGAATTGACATTTTCACAATGTTGAGTCTTTCAATCCACGTACATGCTGTATGTCTCCATTTATTTAGGTCTTCTTTTGGTTTATCCTTCCAATGTTTCTCTTTGAAAATGTAAGAGAAAGTATGTATATCTCTGTGTGTGTATATATATATAATATCTATAAGAATACATGCATTTTAAATTGTCTCCTTTTTATACAAATGTAGTATCCCATATATATCATTCTGTATATTAGTATATATATTATTCTGTACATTAGCATGTTGTTGTTGTAGGGGCCATTGAGTCAGTTCCGACTCATAGAGACCCCATGTACAACAGAAAGAAACACTGCCCTGTCCTGTACCATCCTCACATCGTTGTCATGCTTGAGCCCATTGTTGCAGCCTCTGTATCAGTCTGTCTTGTTGAGAGCCTTCTTCTTTTTCGCTGACCCTCTACTTTACCAAGCATGATGCCCTTCTCCAGGGACTGATCCCTCCTGATAACACGTCCAAAGTATGTGAGATGAAGTTCTGCCATCCTTGTTTCTAAGGACCATTTTGGTTGTATTTCTTCCAAGACAGAGCTATTCATTCTTGGAAGATTGGTTCTTTCGTCCATGGTATAGTCAACATTCTTCACTAACACCATAATTTAAAGGCATCAATTCTTCTTTGGTTTTTCTTAGTCAGTGTTGAGCTTTCACATGTGTATGAGGCGATTGAAAACACCATGGCTTGAATCAGGTGGACCTTAGTCCTTCAAGTGACATCTTTGCTTTTTAACACTTTTTTAAAGAGATCTTTTGCAGCAGAGGGTAAGAATGGTTGCACAACTTGTAGAATGTAATCAATGTCACTCAACTGTACATGTAGAAATTGTTGAATTGGTATACGTTCCGCTGTGTACATTTTCAACATCAATGTTAACAACAAAAATAAATTATTAAAAAAAAAAAAAGATTCCCTGCTGGGCAGTGAGCTCCAAGAGGGCAGAGACTGACCATGTTGGTTCTGTTCAATTTTGCACCTTGGGCTGATACTGTGCTGAGAGACACCAGCACGGCTGGACTGGTTATTATAATATTGAGATGCTTTCATTTCAGTTGTCTTGAGCCCTGTGAGTCTTCTTACTCATCTGCCTAGGTGCTTAGAGCCATCCCCAGGAAACCCCATCCCCAACCTCCTCGTGATTCCACAACTAAAGGGCAATGCCTACCACCCCAACATACCTCCAGAACCCTGCTCCAGCATTGTGGCCTTTGTTCACTCTTACTGGTCAGTGCCGTGGGGTATCAGTTGTTGTATGTTTGTTAAATAAATGAATGAATGACAGTACCTAGCACCCTGCCCAGCACTTAGTAGGTGCTCCATGGACCTGTGTCCCTTCCTTCCCTCTTCACTCTTCTGGCCATTCTCTGAAGTGGGGCTGCAGCCCAGAGGCTGCTGGAGTGCAGGTCTTGAGTAGGATGATGGTGCGAATTGGCTACATCTTTGAGCCCAGCTCTTTAAATCCCAGCCTCTAGGTTTTCCTCATTGATGGAGTGAGAACAGATTTCCTCTCAAGGATTCCTTCTCCCTGCTGCCCCCTTCCTAGGGACAAGCCCCATGCAGACACTTCTCCCAGGCCAGCTGTGCATTATCTTTTCCTCCCTATGGGCTAGGAATGGGGGCAGGAGCCTTTCAGAGAGAAAGGGAAAACTGACGAGCAGGTGTGGTGTGATGGAAAGAGCACTGGGCTGAGGGTCATTGTTGTTGATAGTTGCCGTCCAGTTGATTTCAACTCATAGTGACCCCATGTGACAGAGCAGAACTGCCCCATAGGGTTTTCTAGGCTGTAATCTTTAGGGGGGCAGATTGCCAAGTCCTCTCACAGAGCTGCTGGGTGGGTTAGAACCGCCAACCTTTCAGTTAGCCTAGTGCTTAACTATTGTACCACCAGGGCTGTGTGTCAGGAGACTGGGAATCCTGCTTCATGTCCACTGCTCAGTGACTGTGGTCCAGAGAAGGGCCCCCCTCTCCAAGGGTCAGTTTCCTCATCTGTAAAATGGGATGAGACTATCTACCTGCATTATTGCTGGAGATCAAATACCTATGCTCAGTGAAATATGGGTGCTATACAAATGTTAGTTGCCCACCCTTACCTTGCGAGCCCTCTGGCTCCTGTATTTGAATGGCCTGTGGAACCACACTCTAAGGGGATGTTCAGGGGTCACAGGACCCCCTGGTGATTTATGACCCAAATGTGTCAACAGAGGTCATGACCATGAAAATCTTCAGGTTATCAGATGTGACAGGATGGGGTTTTATGGCTTCTCACTTATTTTGTTGCCTCCCTTCCTCACTCCTGGTAGAAAAGAGATGCTTGAACGTAATTATTCATTGAAGTTATGCTAGGAGCAGTTGTCAAAATAATAAGAGAAAGATTCGCTGGTCCCTTGTAGATGCTTCAACTGGAAATAATTACCCTAACCCTAAAGGTCCTGGGTGGTGCAAATGGTTTGCACTTGGCTGGTAACTGAAAGGTTGGTGGTTCAAACCCACCCAGCGGCAACATGGAAGAAAAGTCTTGGTGATCTACTTCCATAAAGATCACAGCCAAGAAAAACCTATGGAGCAGCTCTGCTCTGTAACATATGGGGTTTCTATGAGTCAGAATCAACTTAAAGGCACTAGACAACAACAACAACCCTAACCCTGCTTCTCTGGAGGTCTCTAAGGAACCACTGCTCCCTGTTGCATGGAACCAGGAATATGGTGTCCATCATCTCAACCCTGAGACCTGCTGCCATGCTAGAGCAGAACTCTGGAGGAGGACAGCAGGGCAGAAGAGAGAGGTGGGGAGGGGACAAGAGGGGGTGCCGCCTGCAGCTGCCTCTCTGTTAACATGTTAAAGGTAACATGTAGGAGCATTGCTATTGCATAGGGCACCTTTGTGCAAACAAGGAAGGGATACCCTTCATCCAGTAAAAGTATTGCTTTAGGTTAGTATGTTGTTGTACAACCTGGACTGCTGTCTGGGGCAGGGTGGACCATGATTTCCAGAGCTCCCACAGGCATCACACGTCCCCATGTGCTCTTCCACTCACACATCCCTGGAGTATGGGGGTGTGTGCACGCTCTGTACTGATTTTACTGCTCCTTTAGGGGTGACTGTGCCATGCTCTGAGTTTTTTAGGGGCAGAAGTTGGGTCTCCAAGAGTCCCACGGCTGAGGCATCCATTTAGAATCGGTCTCTTGTAGGGAAAAGTGGCTGCTTCTCCAGTGTGGGTTTTGCTTCCTACCATCTCCATGACTACCTAATTATGTTAAAGTATACACTCTGGGGAAGGCAGTTCTCCTGGTGATTTTAACCACTGTATCATTAATCAGAAAATGCAGGATTACAAAATTAATCTCGTAGCTAGAAGGGGAAGGAATGCTCCTTTTTGGTTATGCACCCTGGTCACAGAATGGCTATGCTGTTTGCACCTGAACAAAGACACCTACCTAGAAACGGGATGGCCAGACAAGCTGTGCCTGAAAGAAGGCACCTTCCTTTTTTTCTTTTCATATGAACTCCAGCACGAATATCCCTCCGGTTTAAAGTATGTAAGCACTGAGTCCCTTTGTCCCTTTGTCTTTTGCCTACAGTGCGTCAAGGAGCAGGCATAGAGGAAGTTGCCTTGTCATCTCACCCTGGGATAAGGATCTGAGGAAGTCCAACTCCATAATGAATCTTATCTGCCTTAGTTATCTAGTACTGCTATGACAGAAATACCACAGGTGGATGGTTTTAACAAACAGATTTATTCTCTCAGTCTAGGAGGCTAAAAGTCCGAATTTAGGGTGCCAACTCCAGGAGAAGGCTTTCTTTCTCTGTCGGCTCTGGGGGAAGGTCCATGTTATCCATCTTGCCCTGGTCTAGGAGCTCCTCAGCACAGAACCCCAGGTCCAAAGGACATGCTCTGCTCCTGGTGATTGAGTCCTACCACATTAACATAACTGCCTCTAATCCTGCCTTATTAAGAGGTAAGATTTACAACACATAGGAAAATCACATCAGATGACAAAATGGCAGACAATCACACAATACTGGGAATCATGGCCTAACCAAGATGACACACATTTTGGGAGGACACAATTCAATCCATAACATTATCCTATTCTTCTTTGTCCTAATTGCTATGTAAGTAATAAAGCTTGTGACCTTGCTACTGGGTTATGTCAGTTATTTGCTGAGAGCTACAGCCCTGTCTGAGCTCGTTTTTCATCTGCGGCTCACCGCATCTCTGAACAGGGAGCACACACCAGGAACGACAAAGCAAAAATGCATACTGCAGTTCACCAAGGGTAAACTATGCCTAGACTGGTACAGAGTATGTGCTCAATAACTGTTGATAAATGGCACTAGTTTAAGGTTGTGGCACTGGGCTGATGAGCTGATGGGGATGGTCAGGAACAGGGTTGGTGCAGATTCTGACCAGAGCACTCACACACTCACACATATATAAACCAAGTACCGCAGAAGGACTGAAGAGGTAAAAATCAATTCTGACAATCAGGGAATGCTTCCTGGAGGAGATGGCCTTTAGAGATGCCTGAAGGTTGGGCGGAACTTCCAAGGTGGATCTGCAAGGACAGAGAGCATCTCACCCAGAGGGAGTGATAAGAGCACATCATGGGGCAGGAGAGTAGGTTGGTCACAAAGACTAACCCACATGGTGGCTGTAGCTTTGGGTTCAGTTTTGAGGGTCAGGTGGGAAAGAAGCTAAGGCAGGTAGCAGAGGGAAAAAGAAAAAAGATACCCAGAGCCAAAGGAAAATTTTAAAAAATCCAAAAATCAATAACAAACAAAAATGAAACTTAGGAATAAGGAAGGGAGAAAATGTTATCTTCTTTGGCCCAGTGACAGTGCTGGGGTCATAGCCAAGAAAGCTTCCGGGAGAAGGGAAGATTCTGCCACAATGGCTCCTCCTCGTCATTGAACAGACATTTCATGTCATCTATTTCTAGGCAGAATCAGCTCTTCCTTGGTATTAGGGTACAGACGATACTCCCAGTGGAGCGTTGTAGGAGTAGGTGGGGATGGCAGAGCCTGTGGGAATGTTGGCTGGGCTGCTGGTAGCACTAACAGAGCCAGTGGTAGTGTTGACAGGGCTGGTGGTAGTGTTGACAGGGCTGGTGGTAGTGTTGACAGGGCCGGTGGTAGTGTTGACAGGGCTGGTGGTAGTGTTGACAGGGCCGGTGGTAGGGTTCACTGGGTTGATGGTAGTGTTTACAGGGCCAGTGGTAGCGTTGTAAGGGCCCGTGGTAGCGTTGTAAGGGCCGTTGGTTGTGTTGACTGGGTTGGCACTAAATATGGTTGGAATCGTCATGTTCTGAAAAGCAAAGAGCACAAGGTCACCCACTGATCACAGCCTAAATTACTGATGCTCAGAATCCAGAGCTAAGTAAATGGTTGTTGTTTTAGGTTCCTAAGTTTGGGAGGATTAGTTATGCAGCAAAGTTTAACTGCTATGCCCTCTCTTGGGCTTCACTCGCCCCCAACCTCTGATCACCTCTTCTATAACCCGCTAGAGCATGCTGTATTTCTGGAGCAGAGTCCAACACTCACCGCAAAATAGTTCCTGCAGTTAGCCTGGCACCCAAAATGTGAGGTCACACAAGTGAGGCAGAACTCCAGGAGGGCGAAGGGGAAGACACTACCAGAATATACCTTCATAGAGGCCTAGAGACAGAGAGAGGAATAGGGGGTGTTTAGTCCTTAGGGGTGGCTGTCGTGGTCATAGTCCATACTTGAGAGGCTCACGTTAGGCAAGCACCGCATGCCTTATCTGGAAGGTTCTGGACCTTCTCTGCATAGGGTGCATTGCAGCAGATGCTGTGGGAGAGCCTCTTTCATATGCCCTACCCCTTCCTCCTTTAGGGCACACTGGCCCTGCATTCTTTGTCTTGGGGGTCCCTCTGGCCTCCAAGGCCATTTTGCCTTTTGAGTGACAGACCCAAAGTTCCAGAGAATTAATGCCCCTTGAAAGCAGCCCTCAATCATTGGCTGTCAGGGGTTAGTGTATAGATACCCCAGCTCCCTCACTCTTTAGGTTGGTGGCTAGAGCGGCGCGTAACTCTAAAGCATGTGCCCTTCACTGTTTCTGGGAGTTCCCCACTAGGACTGAGCTCCAGCTGCCCTCAGTGGTAAAAGGCTCGATGGGCTGCCTTCCCTTCTCCATCTCATTTCCCCACTATCGGTGTTTCCTTCATCTCCCAAATAAACTGCTTGTCTCAAAGTCTGCTTTTGGGGAAACACGTCTCAGCAGCACACTGGCAAGGCAAGTGTATGAGGTGGGGACTGGGCTCATCACTGGGGGTTAGGATTGGGCACCAGCAAGATCAGGATCATCAGCTCTGCCTGGCTTTCTCTGTGAATGTAATCCAATTTGGAGATAGGGTTTTCTGTGTTATGTTAATAGGATTCTCTGTTATGTTAATGGATTTTTCTTTGTTACACCTGTCAGTGTAGGGTGTGTCTTAAACCTATCACTTCTGAGTGCTATAAAGAGCAGCCGAGACACAGAGGGGAGTCTCGTGTCTGGGTGGCACAAATGGTTAAGCATAAGTGCTTGACTATTAACTGAAAGGCTGGTGGTTTGAACTCACCCAGAGGCCCCTTGGAATACAGGCCTGGTGATCTGCTTCCAAAAGATCACAGGCTTGAAAACCCTATAGAGCACAGTTCTACTCTGCACACATGGGGTCACCATGAGTCGGAATCGACTTGATGGCAACTAACAACAAGACACAGAGACAAGTGAGCACAAACTAGGAGAAGATAGATGCCATGTGGAGATGGCCAAGGAACCAAGGAACACCCGGGTTACAGAAGCTGAGACAAGGATTTTTCCCTAGGGCCAACAAAGAGAGAGAGAGAGCCTTCTAGAGCTGGTGCCCTGAACTTGATCTTCTAGGCTCAGCCCTGAACTTGAACTTCTAGCCTCCTAAGTTGTGAGAAAATAAATCTCTGTTCTTTAAAGCCACCCACATGTGTATTTCTGTTACAGTAGCACTAGGAAATGAAGACAGCGGGTCTCAGAGCACAAGCGCTTCTGCTGAGATGGCCCTAGTCCTGGTCTTGTCCCTGGCCAAGGCAGGATTGAGAGGGACCCACAGAGCTCAGGATGCTTGGGCCTCGGCACCCCCCACAACAGGGTGGGAGGGTCCACAGGGCACCTGTGGTCCTGGCGAGTACATCGCTCCTCTCCTCACTACCTACACACCCCGCCTGTCTGCAGGAGAGGATGGGGAACCAGGGTCTGAGCCCATGCCTGCTGGAACTCAGAGCCTTTGTGCTAGTACACTCGTGGGTTCCTAGACGACTGTCATAGTTATCTAGTGCTGCTACAACAGAAATACTACAAGTGAATGGCTTTAACAAACAGGAATTTATTCTCTCACACTTTAGGAGGCTAGAAGTCCAAATTCAGGGTGCCAGCTCCAAGGGAAGGCTTTCTCTCTCTTTTGGCTCTAGGGAAAAGTCCTTGTCATCAATCTTCCCCGGTCTAGGAGCTTCTTAATGCAGGAACCTCAGGTCCAAAGGACACGCTCTGGTCCTGGTGCTGCTTTCTTGGTGGTAGGAGGTCCCCCTGTCTCTCTGCTTGCTTCTCTCTTTTATATCTCAAAGAGATTGACTCAAAATACAACCTAATCTTGTAGACTGAATCCTGCCTCATTAACATAACTGCCTCTAATCCTGCCTCATTACCATCATAGAGGTAGGATTTACAACACATAGTAAAATCATATCAGATGACAAAATGGTGGACAATCACACAACACTGGGAATCATGGCCTAGCCAAGTTGACATACATTTTTGGGGGACACAATTCAATCTATAACAATGACAGAGGTCTTGGTGGCCAAATGGCCACTCTTAAGACTTGCAGATATTGCTGTTCTTGACTATGGCCATGATCCACCCCCTTGATGGGACATCCCTACTGAATCATGTTGGACTCCCGAGGCCAGCATCTTGCCTTGGTTCGTGGTTGGCTGTTGTAGCCTCCAGATACCAAACTGCATCAGCTGGATCAGGTTTCCTCCAGCGCCTGCAGGGACCTCTCCTCATAGTGACCACCCCTAGCCCTGTAGACAGGTCAAGTTTAAGGCCCGTGCCCTGCTAGTCTTTTCTGGCCTGCTTGGTTAACCAGGTGACACCAGGTGCTGTCCTGAGGGAGGACCAGGTTGCCAGTAACTGTGGATCTAGTTACTCCTGATCTTACTCTTCTGGCCTACCCAAGAACTGAATCAATCAATGCTACCAATGCCTGCCCATATCCCACCAGCCTTGACTATTTCCATGTCCAACAGCCACTTCCAACTGCATCACTTTGCCTGAGGGTTTACTTTGGCCACAGGAGACACCTTTGCTCATATGCATGGCAGGCTGGAAGCACTGGGAATTTACACCCCCTCAGGAGCAGCATTCCATCAATTACTGATAGGTGTTGGTGGATAAATACCCCAGCTCCCTCACCTGGACAGGGTGTAACTCTGAGGAGCATCTTCTACACTGTCTGCCAAAGTCTCAGTGAGCTTGAGCTGCAGTGGAACTTGCTTGATAGCGTCCTATATTGTGTGACTTCCTTCCCTTGCTTGTCTTACAGATGCTTCCTGGGAAAATCTCCTACACAAATGACTTGCACTTGAATCCTTATCTCAGTGCCTGCTTCTGGGGACCCAAAAATAAGACAAGAACCTAGTGTCAGCACCTCCTGTTCCTGTGACAGATTCCTGGGGGCAGGTGATTTTTTTGAATTTTAGTGTGGCAGTTGCCTTAACTGCTTGCCTTGACACTTGTTGCCCCCAAGCAGGAGCTAGAACAGGTACAAGGAGGGGTCAACTGGTTCAACCTCTCTGAGTCTCTGTAACCAGTTACCATCAAGTTGATTCTGACTCATTATGACCCCATGTGTGTCAGAGTAGAACTGTGCCCCATAGGATTTTCTTTCTTTCTTTTGCTGTTGTTGAGAATATACACAGCAAAACATACACCAAACAGTTTCTACATGTATAATTCAGTGACATCGATCACATTCTTCAAGTTGTGCAACCATTCTCATCCTCCTTTTCTGAGCTGTTCCTCCCCCATTAACATAAACTCACTGCCCCCTAAGTTCCTATCTAAACTTTTGAGTTGCTGTTGTCAATTTGATCCCGTATAAATAGATCTTAAAAGAGCATAATGTTCAAGGCAGACATTTTTTACTAGATTAGCTAAACTATAGTTTGGTTTTAAAAAGACTTCAGAGGATATTTTTGTTTTAAGTTTTAAAGGTTATCCCAGGGCAATAGTTTCAGGAGTTCATCCAGCCCCCACAGCTCCAGAGTCTGGAGCCATTAGAATTTGAAATTCTGTTCTGCATTTTCCACCTTTTGATCAGGATTCTTCTTTAGAATCTTTGATCAAAATGTTCAGTAATGATAGCTGGGCACCATCTAGTTCTTCCGGTCTCATGGCAAATGAGGCAGTTGTTCATGGAGGCAATTACCCACACATTCCATATCCTCCTCCTATTCCTGACTCTCCTTCTTACTCTGTTATTCCAGTTGAATAGAGAACAATTGTCATGCCTTGGATGGCCACCTACAAACTTTTAAGTCCCCAGGCTACACAACGAACTAAGAGGTAGAACAGAAGCATAAACACGTTATTAGGCCAATTAACTGGGATGTTCCATGAAACCATGACCCTTAACTTCCAAACCAAGGAACCAAATCCCATGAAGTTTTTGGTTGTTCATAAATAGTCTCAGCAGCTACTCTTTTTTTTTTTTTGTCATTGTAAATATATCTATCATACAGCTTTTGCTAATTCAACTTTTTTCAATTTATTGGCATCAATTTCAATAATTGGCTGAGCAACCCGACCCTTAATCAATGCAATTTTTCCATCATTGTTAATCCTCCTCCCCACGCCTTCCTTCCACCCCCGGTAAAACTAAGAAACTTTGGTCTCTATACATTTGCCTTTTCTTGTCTTTTTATATAAGTGAGGTCATACAATATTTGTCCTTTTGTGAATGACTTATTTCATTCAGCCTAATTTCTTCAAGCTCCATCCATATTGTAGCAGATATCAAGACTTTGTTTCTTCTACTGGCTGAGTGGTATCCATGGGGTTTTCATGGATGATTTTTCAGAATTAGATTGTCAAGCCTTTCTTCTGAGGTGCCTCTTTGTGAACTTGAACTGACAACCTTTGGTTAGCAGCTGAGTGCATTAACTGTTTGCACCACACGTGGACTCCAAGTCTCAGTGAACTTGTCCATAAAATGGGACTTATCATGCCTGTGTCTGAGGTCCCAGGGTTTTGATAATGGCCAAATAATTAATGGATATAGTGGTGTCATAGGTCCCTGGGTGGCACAAACAGTTTGTGCCTGACTGGTAACTGAAAAATTGGCAGTTCAAACCCACCCAGTAGCACTGTGCAAGAAAAGGCCTGGTGATCTGTTTCTGTAAAGATTACAGTCAAGAAAACCCTATGGAGCAGTTGTACTCTGTAACACTTGGGGTCTCCATGAGTTGGAACTGACTCGCTGGCACACAACACCAACATCATCACCAACACCAACACCAACACCAGCACCAGCACCAGCACCAGCACCAGCACCAGCACCACAACAACAACGGCAACAACAAAAACGGTGTCATACGAGGATGGAATTCTGCAGTAATTCCTTCTGGCTTTGGAAACAACCTCACAAGCCCTCCTGGTCTTTTGGAAGCACAAGACCCTGGCAGTCTGAATGCTCACCGTGGGAGCTATGATCATATCTGCAAGGAGAATGCAGATCCCAAGCAGAGAGCAGATTGCGCTGAAGATGTTGGTGCCGACGCTGCTGTTCACCTGGAGGAGATGGAGGGAGAGGACACGGTGAGCGGAGTCTGAGGACGACTTGTGGGAACTCTCGGAGAGTTGGACAAAAGAGGCATCAGGCAGAAAAGCTATGGTTAGACAGTTTATTCTAAGTGCAGTGAGGTGAGAAAACTACTCCTCACTTACCAACTATCTCCTTATTTGACATTTTCATTTACAACAGTAAAAAATATACTATCTGACTGTTTTTCACATTAACGAGGCGGCAGGCATAGCGGCGATGGCTTCGGAGTGTCCCCTCCCTCGAGGAGGGTCTCTGGGTGGCCTCCTGGAAGCTGGGCCGTGCTGCCCTGCTCCCTCCACTCCTTTCTGCTGGCGGTGGCCTCAGGTCCAGCTGCCTCACGGGGCCATGGCCTCTGGGAAGACACAGGCAGCACCAAGCCAGCAGGCTCCTGTTCTGGGTTCCCAGCCCCTATGTGGCCTGAGGCTCTGCAGCTCAAAATTGCTTTGGGGTGGGAAGGGAGGAAAGAAAGAGGCATCGGAGAGGGTGTTTGGAAGAAACGTGTGAGTTTAATGACATCCCAAACTGAGCCGAACTTGGTCTGAAGCCTCTACCTTGGTGGGGCTGGCTGTGCGGCTAGGCTCCTGGAGCCCTTGCAGGAAGCCCCGAGCCTCAGTGACTCTCCAGGCCCGGGAGGGCAGAGCAGGCTCATGGATCATGAACTCAGGGCTTGCAAGAGTGGGAGTGGAGCCCTGGAGGCAGCTCCGCAAGGGAAGCTCTAGGCCAGCACACAAGGAAGATGAAGTGGTTAAGCCGTGCGTGGGCCCTCTAGTCACACAGCTCGGCTTTATCCAGCTTTGTCTCCTCCAAGCCTCCTCCCCAGAGGAATAATCCATAACTGGACCTGTCACAGTGATGAGCACATCAGTACATCTTAGCTCTTATTATTTCTATGATCATATTTTCCAAATACAAAAAAATCGGACAAATGGATGATATGAAAACAGAAAAAGAAAAAACCCTCCATTTTTGCATAACACCAATTTCTGAATAACAATCTGGTCTTTGGAACATAACCATGTCAGTAAGTGAAGAGGGAATGTATTCTTTAACTAACGTGCAGCAACTCTTTAGGAAAGAAGCTGCATTTGCTTGGGAAAATACCTTCATGAGCAGTCGAGAGGTGGGAGATGAGATTCTGTGGGCTGGGTTAGAAGGAGACAAAGAAAGGATGCTGTTATGGAGAAGAAATCAGAGGGGCTTGAGGAGGGAGTAAGCAGGGAACCCAGGCTTGCCTACAGAGAAGGGAGAGCCAGGCCTGGTCTCGATGTGTCTCCTACTCAAGCTGCCTCCTCTGAGAGGGGTTGTGGGGGTGGGCAAGTGGAGGGAATAAAAAAGGGACTGTGTCTGACATTTGGGATGAGCCCAGGCAGCTGTGAGATGCAGCATCCCCAGTTGCTATTGAGTAGATTCTGACTCATGATGACCCCATGTGTGTCAGAGTAGAACTACTCCATAGAGTTTTCAATGGCTGATTTTTTGGAAGTATATCACTAGGCCTTTCTTCCAAGGCACCTGTCATGGATTGAATTATGTCCCCCCCCCGCCCCAAAATGTGTGTAGCAACTTGGCTAGGTCATGATTCCCAGTGTTGTATGATTGTGTAATCTGATGTGATTTCCTTATGTGTTGTAAACTCTATCACTATGATGAGATTATATGTGATCTCCTTATGTGTTGTAAATTCTGTCACTGTGATGAGGTTATACTGATGAGGTTGACAAGATTAGATTAGTGTCTTAATGCAATCTCTTTTGAGATATAAAACAGAGAAGCGAGCAGAGACACATGGGAACCTCACGCCACCAAGAAAGCAGTGCCAGGAGAAGAGCGCATCCTTTGGACCTCAGGTTCCTGCGCAGAGATGCTCCCAGACCAAGGGAAGACTGATGCATCACACGACCTTCCTCCAGAACAGAGAGAGAGAGCCTTCTCCTGGAGCTAATGCCCTGAATTTGGACTTGTAACCTACAGGACTGTGAGAGAATAAACTTCTCTTTGTTAAAGCCATACACTTGTGGTATTTCTGTTACAGCAGCACTAGATGACTGAGACAGCACCTCTGGGTGAACTCGAACACCCAGTCTCTAGGTTAGCAGCAGGGTGCATTAACCCAGGGACTCCAGATGCAGAGTAAACAAGAAAAAAAAAAAATAGAAAACAAAACAAAAAGCCCCCAACAAACAAACAAAACCCAAACCAGTTGCCATCAAGTCGATTCTGACTCATGGTTAGCCCATGTGTTGCAAAGAGAAGAGGACCAAATTCAGTCAGAAGTCAGACATCAGAGCCTGAGGGGACAAGGGGGCCCAGGAGTTGGCAGACATCTTGGGGAGGGTGTTGGACTTCCCACAAGATGTGGGCTAGGTTTTGACACAATGAGTTGTTCTACTCTGTCCTGTAGGGTTGTTATCAGTCAGAATTGACTCGATGGCAATGGGTTTGGTTTGTTGGGTTGTTAAGGGGCAGCATGAACTCAGCTGACGTTGGGGTAGTTGAGGTGTCCTAATTCTGTTGATGAAGGAAGGGAGGCCATAGGGCAGCAGAAATTTGCCTTGCCAGATTGGAGATTGGTGACTGGGAAACCCTCTTATACACCCCAGACTCCAGATGATCCATCGCTTTCCCATTAAAAAGGCAGAAGAGACAAAAAGCCATGTAGCCACGCAGAGGAAGTGGTGAGGGGGAGGGAGGACTTGGAACCAGCGAAGAGAGGAGCTCCACCATGGAGTTCTAAATTTAGCCCTTAGCTTCTTAGAGGACATAGCAATCTACATTGCTCTCATTGTTGAGGCAGAGAATGACACCTCAAAGGTCCAAAGGTTTTTTGGGCACTGTGCCCTGTGGTTGGGGCTCTAAACTGTTCAAGTCAAACATTCCTCTTGCTTTTCTAGGACCAGCCAAAGGGGAAGGCAGGAAACACTTTAAAGAGATGGTACCGCTGGAATGTATGCACATTTCCATTTGGCCCAGGCTCAGCTTTCTGCTGAATTCAGAGTACTCCTAGGTCATTGGGCTGCCTATATGAGTCAGTTCCCCAAACTGCTAAGTCTGTGAGCAATAAAATGCAATAAGGGGAAGCACAGCGCTGGAATCAGAGAGATCTGGGTTCAAATCCCGGCTATGCCCTTTACCTGACCTCTCTGTGCCTCATTTTCCTCATCTGCAAATTGGGGATAATAGAACTTCATAGAGTTGTAAGGATTGAATGAAATAAAATCTATAAAAGCACTGGACCCAGAAACAGGCCCAGGCCACTCCGTTGCTGTGAGGCCTCTTTCTTCCATGTTGTGGAAGAGAGTCAAATTCTAATGCTCAGGGATCATCAGAGATGGCATGTAACTCACCACACATGGGCTGGGGTCCTTTGAAGCTTGTACAGAGAGGGATCCAGATACAACATACTACAAGACAAAAAAGAGAATGATCAACTTTGCAACATGTTAATAAAGATAACCATCCATTCAGAGATGTATCTCTCAGTCTTTAAGGTCTATATATCTTGTTTCATAAGATGTGCAAATCTATTTACTCTCTCTCAATATGTCCACTATCCCCGTGACTAGGCCTCAGATATACTAAATACCGTGATACTCAAACTCCTGTGTGTATAGACTAAAGCCTTCTTTTGCCTTAAAAACCTGAATATTTTGCCAGGACATTTTAAGTCTCATTATTTTTTTAGACTGGTTCTGTCTGGGTTCATTGCTTGGATGTAGTCATGGCCCAAACTCATTCATTGCTCAGCTGGCCTCACATTTCACTATCCTAGATGGTGAGTTTGGAAAATCAGGGGCAGGGTCATATGGGGGACAGGGTCTTAGGACTGGGAGATAGGAGACCTGAGTTCCTATCCTACTTCTGCTACTAACTCACATTGCTGTGATCCTGGGCAAGTCGCTGCCAGCCTGAGGGTCCTAGCTAGCACTTGATGCTGTTAGGCAGGTGATGAACATATGAACACAAGAGGCAGTAAGAACTCAGCTTAGTTACAAGAGCCTGTGGTTAAGCGTTTGGCTGCTAACCAAAAGGCTGGCAATTTGAATCTACCAGGCACTCCTTGGAAACCCTATGGGGCAGTTCTACTCTGTCCTATTGGGTTGCTATGAGTTGGAATCGACTCGACAACAATGGGCTTGGGCTTGGGCTTAGGAGCGCGAGAACTTCTTCCAGCATTTCCTGGTTATGAGGATGTAGTTGTATCACCCAACTTCTCTGAGCCTAAGTCTCCTCATCTGGCAAAAGGGCATGAGATAAAGATCCTAGCCTTATCTACCTACAGGTGTGCCATGCAGTTCAAATGGGAGAAAAAGGGTAGAATTTCAAATGAGAAGGACAGGGCGTATTCAGGGACTTTAGTAGCATTCATGAAGCTGTTCCTCAAAGGGACTCACTTTCTCTGTCATTGTGTGAGGCCAGTAGGAAATAAGATTGGGACATAAAGGATAGATTTGGGACCTGCTAGGAAATCACCACGGGGCTTTCAGGAGAGGAAGAGGAGCATGACACGGGCTTACCCTCCCTAAAGACTGCCATGGGGCTGAAAGCGACTCACAGCCTTCCAGCTGTGACCGCTTTCCTCACAAATAGGACTGGTTTACTGTATTTTTTCACAAATAATGTGTGCGTTACACGTTTTATTGCCAATCGCACAACCGCTCCGTGTTATTTTCATAAGCGTGCTATGCCAATTTCTTTTTACGTGTTGCCGACTTCAACTGACACGAAGAAGACATAATTAAGCTATGAGATAAGAAACGTAACATAATCTAATGGTTTCACTTAAGATGATCTGATAAGGTTTTTGCATTCAGCTATTGAGCTACTGCACTATAATTATCAACTTAATAGAAACAAACACACAATTTCGATTGTTTATTTTCCAATTACCGGGGGACTTCCGAACTCCATCCATGACTTCTTGACCACGAGTTATACCTATAGGATGCAGTTATGATCAAAAGTAACATTTTTGGACTTTTTTTATACACATAAATAGGAGATTAAAGAAAATGAACAGAAGGACATGATTTACCTGTAATATGGGCGGAAAGGTGAATGAAGCCAAAATTCACTTCTGGAAATGTCATAAGACATGCATGGTATATGCATGGGTGCGCTATGCCAGAACTGTTTTACTTAATTTCATCATTTTTGCATATTATATGTGTAGGAGTGTTATTTACATGGGCACATTATTTTAGAAAAAAACGGTTTAACCCCAAAGGGTAGGTAAGCCTGTGTCTATTGTGCTGGGAAAACAATAGACTTGGGCTGTAAGCTTGGAACAAGGTCATCAGAGTGATAAGCTAGTCTAAGATCTAGCTGATGCAATGTTACATTTTAAGGGCAAGATTGAAAACTCAAGTTTGTAGTTAGGGAAAAACAGACTTTATTTACCTAATCTCAGTTTTCTTGTTGTGAATTTATTTTGAACATGGAAATCTTTTTAGGTCAGGATGTTTGATATCTTTTCCATCTTTTTACCCATCCCAGCATGTGGCAATCAATTCACGTTTGACAAACGAATTCTTAAAATGTCAAGTCTTAAAACAAAATCCAATGGATTAAGAAAGTTATTTGACATATCTGATGATTTCATGACAGAACTGGAGCTACAGGGCATCAAATGCCCTTTTCAGCTCAGAAAGGATAGTAATAACTCTGGGGTGGAGCTGAGAGTCACCCCACCCAGGCACAGCTCCCTTGCTTTCTAGGCAGATGATCTCTCTGAATTACTATTAAAGCTGCTGCAACTTTCTCATCTGTAAAAAGAGCACAGTAATAGTTACTACCTTATGTTACTTTTTTGTAATATTATTGAGATGCTATCTGTGACATGTTTGGACATGTTATTAGGAGGGATCAGTCCCTGGAGAAGGACATCATGCTTGGTAAAGTAGAGGGTCAGCGAAAAAGAGGATGACCTTCAATGAGCTAGACTGATGCAGTGGCTGCAACAATGGGCTCAAACATAGCAAAGATGTGAGGATGGCGCAGGACCGGGCAGTATTTCAGAACGAAATAGGGTTGCTGTGAGTTAGAACTGACTCGACAGCACCTAACAACAACAACAACATCTGTGAATACTTGCAAATGCTAAAAGTACTCTAAAATTGTTTATTCTAACAGACCCATGTACATTTGGAAGGGGGCTGTTATGGATTGAACTGTGTCCCCCTGAAATATGTGTTGTAAATCCTAATCCCTATACCTGTGGCTATACATTTGGGAATGGGGTTTCTTTGTTATGTTAATGAGGCAGTATTGTGTAGGGTGTGTTTTAAGTCAATCTCGTTTGAGATATAAAAGAGCAAATTAAGCAAGCAAGCAGGCAGGCAAACACAAATGGAGGGGAAGACACATGTCACATGATCACCAAGGAACCTCGGAAAAAAGGCTGGAAAGAAACGAGGACCTTCCCCCAGCGCCTACAGAGAGCCTTCCTCTGGAGCCAGTGCCTTGAATTTGGACTCTTCCTAAACTATGAGAAAATAAATTTCTGTTCATTAAAGCCATTCACATGTGGTGTTTATGTTATAGCAGCACTAGACATATAGTGCTAGACATGAACATGAAATAAAAAGATATAAGGAGCAAAAGGAAGAAACAATAGTGTCATTATCAGAAGATGATATGATATGATAGTCTGTGAAAATGTAATTTTAAAATATACTAACACAAGCAAGGAAAAAATATTTAGGAATAAATCTAAAAAAAGGTGTAAGTTTTTATGGAGAAGTTGATACAACTTTGTTGAAAGACGTTAAAGAAGACCTCAATAGAAGAGCTGGTATATTATGAAGGGGCCCTGGTGGGGCAGTGGTTAAAGCACTTGGTTGCTAACTGAAATGTGGGTGGTTCAAACCACCAGTTGGTCCTAGGGAGAAAGGTATGGCAGTATGTTTCCGTAAAGATTTATAGCCTTGGAAACCCTATGGGGGCAGTTCTACACTGTCCTATAGGGTCGCTAGAAGTTGAAATTGACTCGACAGTGACAGGTTTGGGCTTTCTTTTTGGTTTGATATGTTATGTTCATGGATGGGAAGATTCAATATCATAAAGATATGAATTCTTCCTAAATTTACCTGTAGATTCAGAATAAGTTCAATCAAAATCCCAAAAGAGTTTTTCATTGAATGTGAAATTTAAGTGGATTATCAAAGACTAAGGTTGGTTAAGACATTCCTGAAAAGGAAGAAATTCAGGGAAATTGTAGATAGCAAGATTTACTGCTTACTACAATGAATAGTAATACACATTATAATACACCTGTATACGTACAATGTATATATAGTTTCAGGGACAGACAGGGAGACACCTGGAACAGAAACTAGAGATCCCAGACACGGACTCCCACACAAGCAGGTACCTGACATATGAAAGTTGGCTTTATAGGTAAGTGGGGAAAGGAGGGACTGGTTAGTAAATGATGCCAGGACAACTGCTTATCCATGTGGGAAAAAAATAAAATTGGACCCTCACCTCATAGCGTACACCAGAATCAATTCCCTATGAATTAAGGATTTAAAAGTGAAATGCAAACTTTAAAAATTTTAGAAGAAGAACTACAGAAGAATTGACACAGTGGCTGCAACAATGGGCTCAAGCATAGCAATGATTGTGAGGATAGCACAGGATGGGGCAGTGTTTCATTCCGTTGTATGTAGGGTCGCTATGAGTTGGAACTGACTTGACGGCACCTAACAAAAACAACATAGAAGAATATCTGTATTACCCTGGATAAGGAATAATTCTTAAGAAAAACACAAAAGGCATAAACCATAGAAGTTTTGACAAATTAGAGTACATTAAAATTCCGATCTTTTGTTCATCAAAAGAGATCATAAAGAAAGTGAAAGGACAAGCCAAAAAATCGGAGGAAGATATTTGCAACGCGTTACTGACACAGGAAAAATATGCAGAATATACAGAGAACCCCAGTGAATCATAGAAAAAGACAAGTAACTCAAAACAGAAATGGGCAAAAGAAATTTGGTTGGACCAACTTTCTTGGGAATAGCCATAAATATGGATCTCTTCCAGTCGGGTGGCCAGCTAGCTGTCTTCCAAATTTCTTGGCAAAAATGAGTGAGCACTTACAGCACTGCATCTGTCTGTTGAAACATCTCAAGTGATAGTCTGTCAATTCCTGGAGCCTTGCTTTTTCACCAACGCCTGCACTGCAGCTTGGATCTCTTCCTTCAGTACCATCGGTTCCTGATCGTATGCTACCTCCTGAAACGGCTGGACGTCGACCAATTCTTTTTGATAGAGTGATTCCGGGTATTCCTTCCATCTTCTTTTCATGCTTCCTGCATCGTTTAATATTTTCCCCATAGAATCCTTCAATATTGCAACTCGAGGCTTGAATTTTTTCTTCAGTTCTCTTTTGGTTTTCTAT